ACGTCAATCTAGATAGATGATATTTTTACGCAATTGATAAAGCTTTAACTACCGTAATTAACTTAAATACTCAGTCCTACTGATCCTGCCAGAATGGCGCGCTATTCCAATACGTCTCAATGACATTGACAGCTGTCAGATAGGGACGGACATCTATGCCGATGTTCCAGTGTAGCCCCATTTTCAACTTAACGATATGTACCTAATATTTGCAATGATTCATTGCTTACAGACGTAACAAGGTTTATAAAAACGCTGACGAATGGTAATCCTGCCAGTTGACAGTGACGGCTTTCACCGTTAAAACTCGATCGAATAAACTTGGCACCGTGACTCTTGACGCTCTGACTTTCCTAATGGAAACGAGGATACTTTCTCAACAGCTCGTTTACATTGCTCGACTTTTTATTGAGTAAACAGTGAGCTACTTGCGTAATTTTTATTTTCATATAACTCTCAAGATTCCTTAAAACGCCAGAATCACCTAACAATTGATAGTTGTACTACTTAGCTAGCGCGTACCTTCGACCAATCTGCACTTATTTAAAGGTGGTCAAGCACTGCTTTATTGACAACTAGTTTTCGCCCGCGACACCGTCCATATGAATTAAATGATAATAAATATAGAGTCTATATTACTCACAGATAAATTTCCTTTCTAACGGTAAAATAATTTTATAAATCGGTCCAGAAGTTTTTGAGTTATTTCAATACATACAAAAATACAAATCTTTCCTCTTTATATTGGTATAGATCAAAAGTTCTATCACGAAAATTGTCAGTGAGATAAACTTGGTTAACATAAAAGGTAACAGAATTCTACGTGTCCATTTCTAGTTATAACTAATGATATTTCCTGAGGACAAGCATACGTAATACCATGTGAGATTGAAAATTCTCTACCATTACTCCAATCAGTTGTAAACTGAGTGAAGTGCATCACGCGAGCTACGATTTTGTCGTCAATTTGCCGCATTCTTAGCCTCATGTGGCTCGAAGGTAATCGACTGCGTTCGCCAGATGACGCCGATTCGATACCGTCGCAACATTCTAATATCGATAATTCCACAATTATTTAAATCGATTTTGATTTCGATTTAGCTGTAATACGAAATGCACAGTGATCAAAAACTTTGATCCGTCAGCTAGTTAAAATAAAAAATATATTTTGTCTTAAATCAAGGTCAGAATTCAGTTTTTTGTACGTCTTTTCATTATTTCTTCAATAGCGTTATGGTTGACGGCGTTCATGTTAAAGGGCGGACCCTAAGCAATGAGATTATCATTAATGTCCAATAAATCTATGTCAGTGCCTTTTGAATTCTGCACTTTAATAAAATATACGTGTGTTAATTAAATAACCTAATCGAAGTTTAATTTCTTATATTAGTGATCGAAATGCAATCAACGGCATTACGAAGAATTAATTGACGAATATTAACAAGAAAGTGTGCTGCGGTGACTTATACATTGACTTTTGACCTCCATTTATATCCGAATAACTGATCCATAGACACGGCGACTCAGGTGATTAGATAGTTGCAAATCATGCTGGAACGCGATGATATCCGCCAGCAGTACGCCCGTAATACGAATTCCGATGAACATAGAATGTGTATTATCCAAGTCGATTATCGGACACGTATGACGATAGTATATAATCACATCGAGTGCTGTAACAGCTACCGGTGGCATTTCCTTGTAAAAGGTTTCATGTACACATCTGTCACGTCAAAATATGTCTATAGCTTAGTAAAAATTGCAAGAAGATAAAGAATACAATCACAATAAAGCTTAAATATTATCAATTTTGATTGTTTTAGGTAAATAAAGAATCTGACTTGTTTCTCATTCTTACATAAACATTCCTAATAACTGAATTGTGTACCTTTTTATTTAACACTAGTTTTTGACTCCGTCCGCGTTGTATTTAAAACAGAAAACAAAAGCAAGTAGCCTATGTATTCTTCTAGATTATCCTCTATATTTATGCCAAATTTCATCGAGATCCATTCAGCAGTTTAGACTAAAACTCTATCAAACATCATCCATCTAAACTTTCGCATTTATAATTAGTATGAAGTATTATTAACAAGCGTTATCTAATTTGCTAAATATGTATTACATGTTTTGTGTTAATGTTTCGGCAGTGGAAACGATGAATGTGTTCATATGATAGGGTACTAGTCCGGTCTATTATTCCATCCTGTAAAAACCGCAAGATGGCGCGCTGCGCGTGATTACCGCGACAAATCCCGCGTCATCCGTCGCGTGCGCGCCGCGTGCCTAATGCCATACTATTTGCGGTTGGCTACACTTCTCGATATACCGCGATATACTCGTACATCTCATATGAGATAACCGATTCATCTCGCATTACTATATGGATGCTTATAAGGGAGTTTCTTGTGATCGATATGCAATAAAAATAGTTGATCTAAATGTAGGATAATAGAGCTAATTATTATTGAGTAAGACAAAAAGAACAAAGCACTGTTACTGGTATCCGAATACCGACATATTTGCACGTACAGTTAGCTGCATACATATGTATATATTTTTAAAGCTCCAGAAATTTGTATACATTTATGCAACTGTCTGTACACCCCAGAATTACTAACGTTACTATCGGTTATGTTACCAATGATTTAATACATAGTAATACAATGTATTTTACATTTAAATAATAGGAGAGAATGGAGACATTAACAAGAAGATTTTGAATGTGGTAAGATTAAATGTGGATGGCTACAAAGGTAGAGGAAGACCGAATAAAGTAAGGACGGATTGTGTAAAAGAGGATATGCTTAAGAAGGGAGTGGATTTAGATATAACGGCTGATAGAGATGTATGTAGCAGCACATACTGTGTCAACCCTCGGCATAGACAGGGTCAAGCTGAATTGAAATTATACAAATTTATAGTGACATATAGACATACCATAGACTATCATATCCAGGAAGTAAACCTCTAGTCAAATCAATAGACAAGTTGGAACATATTAAATGTCTGTATAATAAAGTGAAGTATTTAAGTAAGCTAAGATGTTCTTGAGAGTGGCCGCAAGAAAATGATTACAAGAGGCTGACCGTATCCCCGCGTAACATACAATTTGCCGCTCGTTGCAAACCACTTAATGCGTACGTAGTAGCCACTGGATAAACAGGGGATATGAAACGTTATTTCTTTCAAATACTATGAATATCGTTTTCTTTTTTAATGGTATTTAGTCAAATGTATCCTGCAAAGAGTTGTAATACCTCCTTTTCTTTGTTTCAACTTTGTACAGCTATGTCTATACTATGATAAAGAGGTAAGATTTGTATTTTTGTATGCATTAAAATAACTCAAAAACTACTGGGTCGCTTTCAAAAATTCTTTCACCAATATAAAGCTACGATATCAGTGACTAACGTAGACTACATTTCTTTATTTTTTTTTAAATTCACGCGGGGGAAGTCCCGAGCAACAGCTAATCTATTCCAATATTATTTGTATTTTTGTATATATTAAAATAACTCAAAAACTACTGAGCCGATTTTGAAAATTCTTTCACTATTACAAAAGGTACGTTATCACTGAGTGGCAAAGGATATGTTTATTATATTTTTTTTAATTTTCAAGAGAAGGAAGCTGCATGGAACAGCCAGTATCTAAATGAAGTGGACAACAAATTTGTAAATCCATTGACTGCAGCAGATTTAATTAGGCAGTGAAGATCACAACCTGAACTTATTTCTTACAATTTATACGAACATTGTAAAGTACCTAATGTTCTCAAATGTCATAATCATAATACAACCTTTCTCCCTAGTCAGTCGCAATTAGCTTTTTGCATTGCAATTACGTAATAGAGTGTGTAAGATGATCCTCGGACGTCAGTATATGTGATGAAATTAATGAATATCTTAATGATATCGTATACCGCATGATTACATTGCTTGATCGATGGTATGTTTGCAAAAAGTGCACTATACAAACTACGCAATATTGAGCGAGCTTACGATTAGTCTCTAGATAGCATGAAGCGTGCAACTGTGGAAAGATGCGTAATAACGCACGGTAATGGCTTTTTTAAACTTATAGTGAGTAGGAATTTAAAGTAAGATTCTTATAAACTTTTTATAGTATTATAATTATAGTAATTAATCCTTCAGCTGTAATTTTTAAATGATTTTAAACAACAAAAGTTGCAACGAAATCTTACTAATATTATAAATGCGAAGGTTTAGATGGATGGATGGATGTTTGTTAGAATTTGTAGTCTAAACGGCTGAAGAGATCTCGATGAAATCTGGAATAGATGTAGAGTACGGTCTGGAAGAACAGATATGTTTCTTAGTTTTTTTTAGTTCCACGCGGACGGAGTCGCGGGCGAAAGCTAGTACTAAAAAAATGATGTTGCACAATTTATATAATACATTTTTTTAAAAAAGCAACTCTCTAAATACTATTGTGTTAAAGACGGATAAGTTTATGTTATTCATCATTCTGTTATTCTTTGATAGGAAACAAACTTATAAATTCAAAGAATAAGATCTCAAATTATGATAGGGCATTGTTGTTTAAGGTTAAATTCAAGGTCATAGTGTACGGATAATTTATTGGGACGTTGTTATCGAGACGGCATATCTTGAACTCTCGAATTGATCTGTCATAGAGCTTCGATGGGAATGAGTATATCATAGTATCAATTGCATTTGGTCGCTGTTACAAAGGTGCGTCAAACATATTTGTCCAACTAGACAAACGTTGGCCCACTCGATATGCAGTTGAATTTGTCTCAAGATGTTTGACAGCTAGTCTTATATTGATGTCGTTTGTTTAATTCCACAATACATATCCGGCTACTAACCGCATTTTTTACCCGTTTTATAATTTACTTTTGATATGTTGAATTTAAAAAAAAGTAAACACTTAATGAATAATAAGCGTAACTTCTTAAAATATCTGCATATTACTGGCTATTAAAGTGTGGTTTGATTAAAAAAATATCTTACCTTACAACTTCATTGCATTAATAAAATTTCTCTCTCAATCTGTAACAAATACAAAATTTATTATTTTCTAAATAAATTATACGTTATTATTAGCAAATTCTCCACCTCTTAAAAAAATATGTTTCTTCTTTATCGCCATCAAAAAATCAATAAACAAAGCTTAACATATGCACAACGATATTTTACTTTAATTTTGAAAAAAAAACGAATTTTCCTAGAAACCCATTCAAAATTAAAGGAAAAGGTCAAAGTGATAGAGGTCGCGACTGATGAAGCCGTTTCAAATCGGCTAAACATTTGCCATACAAAGTCAATGTCAGCTGTCAAAATTGTGCAAATATTAAAGCGAAAGGAGGTTAGAAATGATTCACTTTAATGGATTTATTTATTTATTTGCACAGCAACTGCAAAAAATCATTGCAGTGTCATTTGTTTGTTGGCAAATAAAAGGGTCAAAACTTGATCCAAATAAAATGCAATTCGTACTTATAAAGTACTGTTATACAAACACCAGAGAAACACCAGACTCTCCTCTTAAGGTATAAGGCATTTGTATTTGACATATAAACTACACGTGCTAATGCACTTAATAAAACTAATATAACCTACGCAATAAAATGCGTATAGTTCATTCACTTAAAGCGCAACAACGTACGATATGATTGAAGCTAATTAATGAATTTATTACAAAAACAATAAGCCTTATGCTAATTAAAATAAAGGTGAAAATCAAAAGCTCGTTAGCTTGTGCGATATGGTAGGATGGCCATCGCTGAAGCGTGGCAAATTAATGCCCAGAGAAAAGAAGTTCATATATTAAAACTTCCTGGTTTCTTTATTCGGAAGTGAAGTGTTACAAAAAGGTGATTCTTCGAGTGGAACCTTCTATGATCTTTTTGTAAATATAACTTGTATTCTTTTAACACTAACTATTGCCCGCGATTTCATCAGCGTGGCATTATAGCCGTATACGATGATCATTTTACATATAGATAGATTTTTTCTTTCTTACTTCTTACTAATATTATAGATGCAAAAGTTTAGATGGATGGATGTATGGTTTGTTAGCGGCTTAATAGTTAGAGGATAGTCTGGAAGAACACATAGGCTATTAGCTTTTGTTTTTTTTAAATCCCACGGGGACGGAGTCTCGAACGAAAGCTACAATAATACGCACTAAAGATGATTAGTTACAAATAAAATAAAGTGTGTTACAAGATATTCGACTACTAAGGATCAAGAATGAATTACCAAATAAACAATTCAATACATGTATTATGTGAATAGGTTAGAACAATACTAATACATCTGATAAAATGCAAATTTTATCTGCACGTTAGATCATTCCGTCAGCCATCAGTCTCCAAGGAGTCACAGTTTCCCACAGCCGTATGAATTTGAAAACCGCAGACTTGATGCAAAGATGTAACATTGCTAAAACGCGTACCACTTTACGTCACCGCTAGATTGTGAATTTCGCCAGTTTCCACACTCACTAACAGATAAATTTTTTGAAAAATTCTTTAAGATTGATGCATCTCTTTACTGCTTATCAAAATAATATCTTCATTCAGCTTATCTATCTTATTTAGAAATTACACGTGAAAGTTCAATTATTACTAAAATTTGTTTATTGTGTCATCCAGGTATACAAACTAAAAACTACCAGGGGCGCATAGTCATAATGAGAATGCAGGTCGTGTCTGCTATGTGAATTTATGTCCCGAGGTTCCCTGCACCGATGCGACGCCGGGATCTTGGCATACCGTCTTACGCTTTGTTTATATACTGACGTAAGAGGTAGAGATGTATTGCTGACAGGCTTCGGTATTACTTGTGATTTATGCTACCCTAGTACATGATCCAACTGGTCCCTAAACAGAGAGCATTTAAGGGACTAGAAATTTGAAATGTTATGCGCAAGAATACCTGTTTGCTATATGCCACGTGCTAAACAGGTTTTGGGAAATAGTTAATTGACTGGTAAAAGACAATAAACACATAAAAAACTACATTAAAACCTTTCCAATAAAATTAAGATACAATAGGGATTTATAGCAGTAGTGATAAAGGTATCGGGTAATGTTACAAAAACAAAAAGGTAATAAGAATAAAATAAACTACAAGATATTTTTGATTACTAACGACCTGTCCCACTACTAGCTGATAGACGCTCAGATATTTTAAAAATGACGTCACTGTCACAAAATAACAAAAAATAATATTTCCATCACATATTTTACAAATTTACAAGAATTTTGGTGGGACTGACTACACTTGTATAAGCGATCTGTGTGAACTTGCGAATTTTATAGTCGTTTAATGCAGGTCACGTAAGAGCTGATTAGGTAGGTGAAATATTTCCAGGCTTTTGGTATGCGTATCGAATGCTCCAATAAAAATATCTAACCTATCTGCCTAGACCGGTGATGTCACCTTAAAAATCGTATGTAACAATAAAATGCAGAATAACGAACTAAACGGTACTTGTCAAAAATTTTTTTAGAAAAGTCATTGTTTTTCAGATTTTTTTTTACTAAAAGTAATTTTTTTTTCTTTTATATCGATTTAGATTGATTGATTGATTAACATTTAGGGATTTTATGTATTTAAAATTATATATTTTTTTATTTTTACACAAATTCTTTAGGCTAATTTAAAATGTTTCTAGGTTATAAGTCATAGCGACAAAACAATTAAATAGCACTTACTAACGCAAGCATTCTAGACATAATTGCTGTAGTCAATCGGGCTGAGACACCGTCTGCATATCAATACGAGATCGTGTACCACAGAGATAAACTTTTACTTATCTAAATTCTTACCGCAATTGTTAATCTTTGATTTATTCAGATACGACGGCTGATAAAGTATGGAAGAATACATACTGTGCCCACTGTAGGAAAAAGGATGATTTGAAAATTTCACAATTTTTTTCACCTGAATACGCAAAAGTTTAGTATAGAGGCTTCCAAATATCTTGGCGGCACGAATCGTACGAGTCGTTGCCTAAACAACAACCAACAACCTCTAATGTATGTAAGTATGAACACAACGAAAATTGTGTTTTTCTGCATGTTACAAAACTAAATTATCGTTACATTTATGTCCATCATATCTTTACAAAGTAGACTACAATATTATGCAAGGTGCGTTCGTCCGAGTGAACATTACTCTCATAGCTCTAACTCGAACGTGATCACACATTAGTGTTGCCACTAAATAAATATACTAAACAACTATTATAATATTAGTAACTGTTATTAGTTTACTCGAAAGGAATATAAATAACTAGTTATAAAAGACGTACTGGGTGTACCTATACTTTGATTTTCTGGGACATTTAATTTAATAAAAAACGTTATGTAAACAACATATTTATTCTTTTATGATTTCTTAATACAATGAAGTGAGCTAGGAACGCGTCAAGTGGACGTAGTCTGCCTACCCCTTTAGTGTACGGGCGTAAGTTTTATTATTATTTATTCGTTCTCATTCATAATATCAACATATAAAAGATAGAGTAAAATTCCCGACATGTTAGAAACAAAACGATAGATAGTTTATAACAACGGTTGTAAAATTTAATTCGTAATAAAACCTATTAAAGTCTTCATGTGTCGTGAGAGGTAATGATTTCAAAACGTTTTATATCAAATATAATAAAACGCAAGAACGTTCCTAAGATGGCAATGTATTGTCTATTCTTCGTGTTGGCGCGCTTTTGTAACTTTCATAGCAATAGTTCTCACACGATCTAATCAATGAAAATGCCATTACTCAATCCATAACTAGATAATATCAAAGGAATAAAAAATTCTCACGTGACATATTTAAGTACGGATAATGTAATTATTCTTAAACTAATTTAGTCTAATACCGACCTGAGCAATAGGATCTTTTTTACAGTGAGATTTTGGCTCTACTCGCGTTCACGCAATAGAAGTAATCAATGTTTCTCTCTTTTTTAGATAATTAAATTTACCGTTAGCCTTTTGTTTCATAAACAAGGCTTGAATAGTCGTAAATGTATATCAATAGTCAGACGTGAAGTGGGAGCAATTCCATGTTACGTCTGATGAGTGTGGTGCCGGTAAGGTTATAAAAAAGAGATGGGAAGGAGACGTGGTTTTGACGGTGGAGGTGACGCATAGGAAGGGGAAACATCCTCTTTATGTGAGTCACCTAGTCCATAGGTTAAGGGTAGGCAATGCATCCGCTATTGCGAATGTCTATGGGCAGCGGTCGCTTCGCCGTTTTGATGGAATCAGGTAGCTGTTTGCGCGTTTGTCACCTTATGATATTAAAAAAATGATTTAACCATGAGCAACAAAAAATAGTCAATCGGCTAGGCGTCTAAGTATATCGAATCGTTCGATACGTAAAAATTTTGAATATGTAAAATCGCGTGTACATAATCCTCCGTTATGCCAGTTGCCGTTACAGAATTGACCATAAC